TGCTGCGGTGTAAACTGTGTTCGAACTTCGATGGGTCATCATGAAAATATTGACTGTCTTGTAAATGAAGCGTGCTTGAAGCCGAAGTTACCGTGCTTATAGGCGTGTAATTTATATAGCAAAAATTCGGTAAGAGCCGTTTAGCGTGCTTGAGTCAGAAACGTGCTTAAGGCCGGCGTGCTTAAAGCCGGCACGGACTGTACAGAGACGGAGATAGAGAGGCGAGGAGAGAGAGAGAGAGAGAGAGAGAGAGACAGAGACAGAGACAGAGACAGAGAGAGACAGAGAGAGACAGAGAGAGACAGAGAACAATAGGAGGCCATTTTGGACAATCCTGACTACTGTATCAAAGCATCATTCTTTCTGCAGCGGCTGAGTTAGAAAGCCCCCCTTCCCCCAAAGATTGTGAAGTATCAGCAGATGCCAGAAAGAGGGCGGGACTAGAATTCAGCGAAAGAAGAAATAATGCACTGCCTACCCCAAGACGGGAAACCAAAGAGGCAGTCGTTGTCTTGAAATCTTTTTTTTTTTTTTAAACACCCCAAAAAACTTTTTAATTTAGTAAGAATTTCAGGCACTCGAAAACACAACAAGGCCATATAAGAGCCCAAGACTAGAGGTGTAATAAGAGAGTAACAAAAACAAAACTGAAGGAGCGATGATAAGGATGATAGATATTTGATAAGAAACCAAGGAGCAAACCAAAGCACCCACCCACCACCCACAATTAAACACTTTGCAGTCACACGGCCAGCAGTACAAAATACACCCATCTGGTCACCCAGCCGGGAGGGGGACTGCCACGGACTTCTCGGGCCTGGTGCAGAACTGCGTCAAGTGACCGGAACGGATAATTTTCAGCGGCGCATTATAGCGCCAGGTGACTGCAAAGTGTTAAAAAAAAAAAAAAAGAAAAAAAAAAAAAAAAAAACCTGAGAGCTGATTTTGCTGAGTGATGAGCCATCGATTTAAAATTCTGACATGTTAGGAGTTTTACACCCCTATCGACACAATTTAGATCATTTCGAAGGCGGACAAAAAACTCATTAATCGTGGCAGCTGCCAGAACATTGGTTGTGATCTTACTTGAAGCTACGACAATGCTAAGCGCAAAGCAACGGCAATTGAACGACATTAAAAGCGTACAACGTACGACCACCACATATGAGAAAGATATACGTCTGTGCCCATTCATAATACAAAAAAAGGGAGCCTTCAATATAAAGAGGGCTCACGGTATCGTGGTCCGAACACGGAAGTGTGGCTTCATAGACACGTAAAATTTTGTTTTGTTGAAAACACATACACGTGTAATCTTACACTCTCTCACAAACAAAATATACACTTCAGTTCAAAACAGAAACACATTTCAAAACACACACACTTTTACACACACTCTCACAAACTTCCTCACACGTATACACACTTGCGAAAAGAAACCAAAAAAAAGTTTTACAAAAAAAATGTTTTCTTCAACGTACACCACACACATTCAAACACAATCACTCACTCACACAAACATACACATACATACACATGTACACTCACAAACAAGAAAACACCCACAGACACACAAAATCAGTAGAGGACAACGATGTTATTTATAGACAAAGTCATAGTGCATAGTTTTGCCGTTTGACACCGAAGCACCAAGTGTGTCAAATGCGTGTAGTGTGTGTAGTAGGAACACGTGTCTCCAAAGAGAGAAACAAACACATCTGCCACCATCTTCCCGCGCGCAGACCCTAGCTGCAGATGAGCCGGGTGGAGATGAGACGGGACGCTACAGCAGGAGGGAAGGAAGGAGTGAGGGACGTACACACACATGCGCGCGCACACACACACACATATATATGTGCGCACACACACAGATACACACACACAAACACATAACCTCTTCTACAGACACCCCTTCAGAACAGAATACAGCCTTTTAGAGCAGAATACAGCCATGAGTCACAAACAGAATAGAGCTTTTCCATTCAGTTTTCTCCCTTGAATACAGCTTTTCCATTCAGTTTTCTCCCTTGAATACAACTTTTCCATTCCGTATTTCTTTAGAGGACAACATTTCCATACAGTTTCTTAGCAGAATACAGTCTTTCTCTCCAATAAACAACTTTTCCATAGTCTTTCCCCATAATACATATTTTTTCTCTCCAGAATACAGCTTCTCCATAGTTTTTTTCTCATCTATAGTACATACATTTTTTACCTCCAGAATACAACTTTTCCCAAATTTTCCCTCATTATACATACATCTTTCCTCTCAAGATACAGCTTTTCCATAGTCTTTCCCCATCACACATACATTTTTCCTCTCAAGATACAGCTTTTCCATAGTTTTTCCGCATAATACATACATTTTTCCTCTCAAGATACAGCTTTTCCATGGTTTTTCCCCATAATACATACATTTTTCCTCTCAAGATACAGCTTTTCCATAGATTTTCCTCTTAGTACATACATTTTTCCTCTCCAGATACTACTTTTCCAAACAGCCTTTCCCTCCTGCAGAAGCTCTGATAGAAGTATCCGGGAACAGACGCGTAGTTAGTCAGCCGCATGGTCCAGAGTGAGTGTTGTTATCTCCCTTCCTTCGCGTGCGCCGCCCTCCGGAGTTATCTGCCCATGAGCTTGGCGTGGTTGACCAGGATGACCTCCGTGACCTTCTGCTCGAACTTGGCGGCCATTAGCGAGGCCATGGGGTCGGTGTCGTCGTCTCGCATCAAGGTCGGGGCGAACACGATGGCCAGGTTCTCAAAGGACATCTTGTTGGTCTGTTTGTGATCCACGACCCTGTGGGTGGATGGAGAGAGGGAAGTAGTGTGTGGTGGGTGGAGGAATAGAGAGAGAAAGAGAGAGAGTGTGGGGGGGGGCGGGAATAGAGAGAGAGAGAGAGAGAGAGAGAGAGAGAGAGAGAGAGAGAGAGAAAGAGAGAGAGAGAGAGAGAGAAAGAGAAAGAGAGAGAGAAAGAGAAAGAGAGAGAGAAAGAGAAAGAGAAAGAGAAAGAAAGAGAGAAAGAGAGAAAGAGAGAGAGAGAGGCTCTCAAAGGACATCTTGTTGGTCATTTTGTGATCCACGACCCTACGGGTGGAGAGAGAGAGAGAGGGAGTAGGCGAAGGAAAGGAGAGAGAGTATGTGTGAGTGTGTGTGTGTGAAGTATGTGGAGGAATAGAGAGAGAGAGAGAGAGAGAGAGAGAGAGGGCCAGAGAGAGACAGACAGAGAGAGAGAGAGAGAGAGAGAGAGAGAGAGAGAGAGCAGTGTGTGAGTGAGAGAGCCTCCTCCCCCCTCTCTAAAGCCCCCTCCTCTCTAAAGCCCCCCCTCTCCTCTCAAAAGCTCCCTCCCCTCCTCTCGACTCACCTCGCCAGATGCTGACACATGTACTTGAGTGTGTGGAAGTGAGCCGGGGGCAGGGAGCTGATTGGCTCTTTCATCAGTCGCACTTGATCCGACGGTGAGTTGTCTTCGTTCTCTGCCATGGACGGAAAACAAAACAACATGATGAAAGTCAAATATAACAAAGACAGACAAAAAGAAAGATAACTGGAAAAATACTTGAGGGCTTAATGGCTCGACAGGTAAGGAGCTCGCTCGAATTATATTTTTATATTTAGTAGAGGGTTTTACAGCGCTCGCAACTGCATAAGGTCATATGAGCGCCAAGGGGTGGGTGTCAACAGAGAAGTCCTTACAGGGAATCAGACTTACTCTGCTCACCTCTCTAGCTTCAATAGCACAAAGTCTGCTTCGACTATCAAGGCACCCCGGAAATAGCAGGTCACAAGAGAGTGACAAACATACAAAAGAAATAGAGGAAAATGACAATAGTAAGGATTAGGAAAGAAAAAGCAGCAGTTCCGTGATGTAGATCAGGCACAGTTATGAGCGTGACATGAATCAGCCCATTTACAATTCTACTATGCTTGAACGAGATATGTCCCCCCATTGGGAATGACTTAAAGACACTACAGTCAGTGGCACTGCCCCGGGGGGCTCACTGAAAGAGAACGACATCAGATACAAAAGCAACCTACTTCTCAAAATCTCCTAGCGACTGACAATATGGTAAGTAAACCAGCACATGACCACTCACAGTAGCTTCAACAACTTTAGTCGCCTGGCCGTAGTATGCGCTCACTACCACTGGCGACTTTAGTAGTCGCCGATGCAACCAGGCAGACTAAACATAAATAAACAACGGATGGACGCACTGCACTGAAGTAAATACCAAAGGAAGTCACTCTTTATGGTAGCTGAATGGTTGATGAACCAGTGTGAGTTTTTAAAGCGTGTTTCTTGGGTTGCTACGGTTTTTTTAATTTAATCAAATTCCTCCACGGCTTCAGCGTTCTAAACTGGAGTGGAACTTGAGGGTTTTTCACTAAATGAGCCTTCAGTACTGTAAGTGTTATGAGCCTAGAGATGTTTTGTAAGGGAGTAGGCACTATAGCAGGCTTGCCAACTTTTGAGATACTGAATTCTGGAATTTTGATAGCGCTACAGACACACACTTCTGTGATAGGCTACTAAAGTTACTAAAATAAAACACCCACACCGTTTCGGGAAGGGTTCAGGAACGACAATGGCAATTCGGGAATTTCCCGAAAAATTCGGGAAGGTTGGCAAGCCTGCTATAGAAATTATAACTATAACTTATGTGCTCACACATTTTTCTTTTAAAGGGAGGGGGGAGGTGGGAGGGACGGGAGAGGAGAACTCACTGATGATCTCCATGAGTTTCTTGTAGACCTCGCAGGTGATGAGTGGGATGGGGAGGAGGCGGAAGTAGAGCTTGAGGGCGCTGCAGATGGTGTTGATGTCCTCGTACTTGTTGCAGCTCACATCTGTGTTCTCCGCGTCTGCGCGGGATATCGGCACAAATGGAAATTGGTACAAAGGGAAATTGGTACAGAGGGAAATTGGTACAAAGAAATATAGGTACAAAGGGAAATTAGTACAAAGGGAAATTGGTACAGAAGGAAATTGGTACAAAGAAATATAGGTACCAAGTGAAATAGGTACAGAGGGAAATTGGTACAAAGAAATATAGGTACAAAGTGAAATTGGTACAAAGGGAAATTGGTACAGAGAGAAATTGGTACAAAGGGATATGATCAGAACAAAGTGAAATTCGTACAAAGAACTATCGGTATAAAGGGAAATTGGTACAAAGGGAAATTGAAACAAAGAAATATCGGTACAAAGGAATATTGGTACAAAGGGATATTGGTACAAAGGGATATTGGTACTGAGAAATATCGGTACAAAGTGATATTATAACAAAAGGACATCAAAGCAAGGGGATATTGGTACAAAGGGAAATTTCGGACAAACGTGAAATGTAGCAGAACATCATATGTGTGGCCTCACGAGAAAGATCAGGCACTCGTCAAAATAATGAAATCAAAGATACCAGCAATTTTCTGTCAGTTTGGCAATTTCTATCTAATCTTTCTTTTTTAGCTCAACAGTTTTCATGTCTATTAAAGTACACATTTCTATGTGGATTTTACTGAAAAACGTTGATTAAAAGTTTCAAAGGCCTCTCAAGCTTTAGGAGTTACAGAACTTTGAGGGCCATTTTCTCACTTATTTGGTGGCTTTTAAACACATGGGGGCTATCCTGAAAAATTCTGTTTTTAGGAAATCAAAGGTAAAGTTTTTGCCCCTTGTTCAGTTTCTTTAAAATACAAGAAGAGTTTTCTCTATAACCAAACAAATAAACACACTACTGAAACCAAACTTCTCCTATGGATAGGGCAATGCCTACTTTTGGTGCAGGTCAAGATTTCTGGAAACCCCTGAAATCTGGGTGAGCCCGCTTGTCCTTAAAAGTGACCATTTGTACCTCTCATAACAGGCAACCCCTATCTCCTTCAACAGCAATTAATATCTCGACTTCTATTCAAGATAAAAGATTATTTTTTCTTCGAACGCAAGACAAATGAACAAGCTCTAAGTTGACACTAATAACTCCACATGCCAAAAAATAGACGAGCGCCTGATTTCACCGCATCATGACACATAACCTTTCCAGTTCTCTGAGTATATCTGGGATATTACCATAAAGGCAAAATGTGAGGCAGCGTGGTGGAATCAGGCTCTCGTCAAAATAATCAAAGTGAAGAAACTTGCACTTTTCCGCAGGTTTGTGAATTTTTATCAAATTTTAGTTTTTTGGCTCAATACCTTTCATGCCCATTAAAGAACTCATTCCGCACGGACATTTCTTTAAAGCGTTGATTAAAGGCACAAAAATGTATACTTTCAGTTACAACAGACTCTTAAGGTAAGGAAATAACTAATCTTTGGCGGCCATTTTCTCACTAATTTTACCTCTGAAAACAGGTGACCCCACATCCTTCTTTCGCTAATATCTCGACTTGTATTCAAGATAAATGATATTTTTTTCCATCCAAATAAAGACAACTGAACAAGCTTTAAGATGATACCAATAAGTCTACATGCCCAAAATTTGACGAAAGCCTGATTCCACCAAGCTGCCTCACAAATATAGAACAACACATCCCTCTGATATTCCCTCTAGTCATTTACCTTTGTCAAATGCCAAACGCAAGGCCTCCACGTCGTCATGGAAACCCGCCAGTCGATACAGACCCTCCAAATCTATGCCTAGAGACGACAAAAATATGTGACATTTTATTTTTCGTAAGAGTTTTGCTGTACTCGCAACACAATAAAGTCATGTAAGTGCCGAAGATTAGAGCTGTTACAAGAGAGTAACAAACACAAAAAAGAAGGAGGTGAGATAAAGATGAGAGACGTTTGATAGGAAATAAGAAGCAAACCACACCAGATCACCCGCCAACCATCCACAGAAGATTTGTTCTAGTAAGCATTTTACAGCACTTGCTATATAATTAGGTTGTATAAGTGCTGATGATTAAAGGTGTTTCTAGAGAGTAACAAACACCAAAAAAAAGAAGAGATAAGGACAACAGATGTCTGAAGTATGATAGGAAATATTGAGCAAACCACACCAGAGCACCCGCCAACCACAGAGAGAGAGAGAGAGAGAGAGAGCGAGAGAGAGAGTGAGAGAGAGAGAAAGAGAGAGAGAGAGAGAGAGAGAGAGAGAGAGAGAAAGAAAAAGAGAGAGCGAGAGACAAAGAGAAAGAGGGACAAAGACAAAAAGAAAGAAAGACAGACAGAGAGAGAAAAAAGAAAGAGACAGACAGACAGGCAGACAGAGAGACAGAGACACATAGACAGAGAGAGAGAGAGACACATAGACAAAGAGAGAGAGAGACACACACATAGAGAGAGACACAGAAAAAGAAAGAAAGAAAAGTAGAAAAAAAAACCGAAAAGAAAACCTCCCCACAAAAACCCAACAAAAACAACAAAAAATCCCCCATTGACTCACCCCTCGCCTCTATCTCCTTGACACACTTCTCCACCACAAAGGGGATGAGCGACTTGTGTACCTTGACCACCGTGGTCAGGTCTGAGCCGAAGATCCTCTTGATGTACTTCATGTCAGGCATGCAGTCATTGGGGATCTTCTCGCTACACTTCTTGTGAGCCTGAAGGCCGCAGTCTGTTCGCACGACCAACGCACACAGACAGACAGATGGATCGATAAAAGGACGGATTATAAGTCTCATTGTTGGATAAAATCTAGCGATGAATGTACGCACGCACACAGACAGACAGACAGACAGATGGATGGATAAAAGGACGGATTATAAGTTTCATTGTTGGTTAAAATCTAGTGATGAATGCACACGCACAGTGACAGGCGGACAAATGGATGGATTTTCAGTCTCATTGTTGGTTAAAATCTAGCCATGCATACACGCACACACACACACACACACACACACACACACACACACACACACACACACACACACACACACACAGAGACACAGAGACACACACGCAGACAGATGGACAGATGGATGATCAGTCTCAAGGTTTGTTAAAGTCTAGCAATGCACGCACAAACGCACGCACGCAGACAGACAGATGGACAAACTGATGGATTATTAGTCTCATTGTTTGATAAAATATAGTGATGAACACACACACACACAAACACACACACACACACACAGATAGATGGACAGATGGATGATCAGTCTCAATGTTTGTTAAAATCTAGCGATGCACACACGCACGCACACACAGGCACTCTTCAGAAGAATTATCAGATGCAATACAAACAGGTTCATTTGAGTGCCAAAGAATAGGAGTGTTACTAGATAGTAACATACAGAGAAAAGAAAGATGAGAGATAAAGACAATAGGTATTTCACAGGAAAGAATGAGCAAACCACATTTTTTTTCCCATGACAGACAGACAAACAGATAGAATAGATATTCGTTAGGAAAGAAGAAGCAAACCACACATTTTTTTCAAACGGACAGACAGACAGACAGATGGACAGAATATCAAAAAATTAAAATTAACTATATAGTGGTTGAATCAGGTGCTTGTCAAAATAGTGAAATCAAAGAAATTGGCATTTTTCTGACTGTTCGAAATTTTTTTTCTAATTTTCTTTTTTTGTCTCAACACCTTAAACTGTATCCATTTAAAAACACATTTCTGTATGGATTTTACTGAAAAACGTTGATTAATGGCACAAAAATGTCAACTTTCAGTTCCCAAGGACTCTCGAGCTAAGGAAATTACGAAACTTTGGAAGCCATTTTCTCACTAATTTCATCTCTAAAACTAGGCGACCCTGACCTCCTTCCGATATAGTCTAATCATAAAAAAACTAACAACCTTGACCTGGCAGTAACCGACCATCATCGCTCACCTTGACATTTGACCCCCTGGGCGAGCAGTCCCCACATGAAGTTGAGGCAGAAGTAACACCAGTGGAGACCGATGAAGTTTTGTAGCTGGGGACGGGAACAATGGAGAAAAACACTGGTGAACTCTTTATTCTTATATGACATTCAGAGAAAGAAGGAACATAAATAAACAAATAAATAAATGAAGAGATAAATAGAGAAATAGAATACATAAATAAACAAATAAATAAATGAAGAGATAAATAGAGAAATAGAATACATAAATAAACAAATAAATAAAAAATAATCTAAAAAATGAATAAATAAAAAGGTGGATAAATAACTAAATAAATAAAAAAAAATGTTTTTTTCAATCAGTCCAATAGTTTGACCATCAATGTCTCATGATGACCTATGGGACCGGTAAAGTTGTGCCACTGAGAACAGGAACAACGGGAAAGTTTTAGTGAGAGTTTTACAGCACTTGCAACACAATAAGGTCATATAAGTGCCGAAGATTAGAGGTGTTACAGGAAAAAAACAAACACAAAAAAGAAGGAGGGGAGATAAGGACGATAGATGTTTGATAGGAAAGAAGAAGCAAACCACACTAGAGCACCCGCCAACCACCCACGAACAACAGGAAAACACCAGTGGTCAAGGCTCCTGAATGCAATTGACTGATTGGTGTGAGACTTCCATAAGCCATTTTGAGTCTGTTTGTTTAGTTTTAGTATTTTACAGAAATTGCAACACAATAAGGTCATATACGTTCTGAAGATTAGAGGTGTTACAAGAGAGTAACAAACACAAAAAAGAAGGAGGGGAGATAAGGACGATAGATGTTTGATAGGAAAGAACACGCAAACCACACCAGAGCACCCGCCAACAACCCACTGTTTGTTTGAGTAAAGAAAGACACATCCACACAATAATGGTTATTTAGCGCTGGGAAAAAGTAAGACAAAAGTAAGACAAAAGTAAGACAGACAGAAACAACACAGGAGGGAAAGTAACCATCTGCTGCTATTTTGAAATACACTGAACAGTCGACATATGTTTTTGAGCGTTCTAGGATCTTTTGATTTGGTAAGAGTTTATGGCACTTGCAACACAATAAGGTCACACAAGGGCCAAAGATTTTAGTTTTAGCAAGAGTCTTATGGCACTTGCAACACAATTAGATTGTATAAGTGCTTATGATTTTAATTTTACTAAGAGCCGAGCACCCGGCAATCACCCACACTCTACTCTTAAGTCTTTACCTTGAAGATGTGAGCCTTCTCATAATCGTTGACGTCTGTGGCAGGTCCGGACTGCTCGTAGTCTTGTGAGGCGGAGCCCGTCTGTGGGAGGAGAATGGACAGTGAGTAGAGGAGTGCACAGACAGTCATACAGTATATATCATACACAGACAGACAAACAAACTGACAGATAAAATGTCACACATATACATAGATACAAACAAGAACAGAGAGTAGAGGAGTGCACCGACAGTCATAAAATATATGTCATACACAGACAGACAAACAAACTGACAGATAGAATGTCACACATACACAAGGGAGAACATTGAGTAGAGGAGGGCATGGACAGTCATACAGTATATGTCATACACAGACAGACAAACAAACTGACAGATAGAATGTCACACATACACAAGGGAGAACATTGAGTAGAGGAGGGCACAGACAGTCATACAGTATATGTCATACACAGACAGACAAACAAACTGACAGATAGAATGTCACACATACACAAGGGAGAACAGTGAGTAGAGGAGGGCATGGACAGTCATACAGTATATGTCATACACAGACAGACAAACAAACTGACAGATAGAATGTCATACATATACAAGGTAGAACAGTGAGTAGAGGAGGGCATGGACAAATCATACAGTCTGGAGTTTTATTGTAACCCTATCAATACCTCCTGCGGCCATTTTGTAGCCACAGGGTTGTATTTTTCACATTTTAGAATACTTCTAGCACAAAGATCACTTTGAAACTTTCAGTATTTCTCAAAAAATCATTTTGACAGACTGCTATGCAGCGTACGGATCGGATTAACGAGTAAATTTCCTCTTTGGAAAGTAGTGGAACACAGTTCCCCACGTCGTATAGATACAATAGTAAAACCCGCCGTACGGATAGGGTTAAAAGACTGAAGTTCGACATAGGTGTCTCAGAAACAGTTACACAAACACACAGACACAAACACACACACACACACAGACACACACACACACACAGTGAAAGTAAATTTCTATTAGCTGTTCCACTACTACAAGAACAAAAGTAGTTTCCTACCTCACCAGAAACTCCATTGAGAGGTTCCCCTCCGTCTCGCTAAAGGATTCGGCAGGCTATTCTTTATCATCATTGTTATTATTATTATTTATATTATTATTATTATTACTATCGTTATCATCATCGTCGAGATTATTTTTGTTACTCATGAAGGGCTAAAGTAAACTTCTATCAACTTTTCCACAACTGTAAGAACAAAATGTTTTTTCCCCTACCTCGGCGGACACGCCATTGAGGTTCCCCTCCGTCTTGCTGGAAGACTTGGCCGGCCGCTTGCGTTTGGTGTTGTAAGCCATGTACAGCTGCTCGTACTTGGACTCCTGCGACATCGTCTTGATGTAGTCTGCCGCCCGCAGCTCGATGTAGAAGTGGATGAGTCCATCGGCCACGAGGTCGTAAATACTGTCGAAACGCTTGTCACCCACGTAGTGTTTGCCATCGTAGTACAGTTTGAAGTTCTTTGTCTCCGAGTCAAATCTGAGAGGAAGACAATGATAACAAAAGATATAATAATATGGAATTTGAAAACACTCAAGTCTTCGAGTCAAATCTGAGAGGAAAAAGGTGATACTGAATTATGTAATATGGCATTTACAAGTACTCAGCCTCGATTTAAGTACACAGGCTCTGAGCGCTTTACAATAATATGTGAGGCATTGTGGTGAAATCAGGTGCTCGTCAAAATAATGAAATTGAAGAAATCTGCACTGCAGCAAACCTGCACTTATCACTACAAGGCATTGGACAGAAGGGCGAGAGCTCAGCTGTTGCTGGATCGACAACAACACCACAAGAAATCTGCACTTTTTTGGCCAGGGGGGCAATTTTTTTCAATTTTTTGGGGGGGCTCAACACCTTTTGTGTTCATTTAAAAACATTTTTGTGTGGATTTTACTGAAAAACATTGATTAAAGGCATATAAAATGTAAATTCTCAGTTTCCAAGAACTCTCAAACTATTGAAGTTACCAAACTTTGACAGCCATTTTTTCGCAAATTTTACCTCTGAAACCAGGCGACCCTGACCTCCTTTAATCGCAAACATTTTTACTTTTCTTCAACATAGATAGATGGATACTTTTTTAACCAAAAGGAAGGCAAATGAACAGGCTTTAAGATGATACCAATAATCCCATATGCCCAAAAATTGACAAACGCCTGATTCCACCATATTGTAACACATATATACACCAGTAACACATAAACAGAACATGACGCAACAGAAACAGGGGATTGTCAGTTTTTGGGAATGAGGATTTATTGATATTATCTTAAAGCCTGTTCGTTTGCCTTGCATTCGATGAAAAAAAACACCAGACTGTCTGAAACTGATATTGAGATATTTGTGATTGTTTAGTTTTAGTAAGAGTTTTGCGGCACTTGCAACATAATATAAATAAGGTCATATAAGTGCCGAAGATTAAAGGTATTACAAGAGAGTAACAAACACACAAAAAGAAGGAGGGGAGATAGAGATGATAGATTTTTAATAGGAAAGAAGGAGCAAACCACACCAGAGCACACGCCAACCACCCACTTAAAGCCTGTTTGTTTGCCTTGCTTTCAATAAAAAAGAAATACAGACCTATCATAATTAAATAGATATTGAGAAATTTGTGATAGAACAGGCTGGGGGGGGTCACCTTGAGTCAGAGGTAAGATTACAGAGAAAATGGCCACCAGAATTTGGTGACTTCCAAAACTGTAGGAATGTTGGAAACAGCAAAGGTACATTTTCTAAAACTTTTGATCAATGTTTTTCAGTTAAATCCATGCAGGAATGAGATCTGCCCAAAAACAAAAAATCTGACAAAAATTGCCAAACAAGTGGACACAATATGTGAGGCAGCGTGGTGGAATCAGGCTCTCGTCAATTTTTGGGCATGTAGAGTTATTGGTATCATCTTAAAGCTTGTTCATTTGTCTTGCTTTCAATGAAAAAATTACCCAGCCATCTTCAATAGAAGTGGACATATTTTGGATTGAAGGGGGTGGGGGTCACCTGGTTTAAGAGGTAATATTAGCGAGAAAATGGCCGCCAAAGCTTGGTAAATTCCAAAGCTGTAGAGTCCATGGAAACTGTAAATTTATATTTTTGTGCCTTTAATCAACGTTGTTGGTGAAATCCTCAAAGGAATGTGTTTGTAAATGGACATTAAAGGTGTTGAGCCAAAAAAGAAAAATTTGATAAAAATTGCTAAGCAGGGAGAAAACTGCTGTTTTCTTCGATTTCATTATTTTGACGAGAGCCTGATTCCACCACGCTGCCTCACATTTATGGCTGTTCTTTTGAATTCATTATTTTGACAAGTGCCTGATTTCACCATGATGCCTCATAAATGGGATTTATTTATAGAGCACTCAATAACAACAACAACTAGGCCACTAAAGACATATATATAGCATCCAACCCAAATTAAAGTACCCAGGCTCTGAGCGCTTTACAGCATATTAGTAACATATAAACAGTACATAGTGTTCTGACTAAAAATATAGGTACATATGTATATCTCATTAATTCAAAAGCAGGAATTGTTAGTTTTAGCAGGAGTTTTTTACGGCACTTGCAACACAACATGGTCATATAAGTGCCGAAGATTAGAGGTGTTACAAGAGAGCAACAAACACAAGAAAGAAGGAGGAAAGATAAGGACAATAGATGTTTGAAGGAAAGAGTCAGACAGAGACAGACAATGACGGGGGAAGAGTGAATGAAAGAGAGAGGGGGGAGGAGAAAGAGAGAGAGAATGACAGTGAAACTAACAAGCCCCCCGCCCCCCCCAAACCCTCCCATGCTGTTGTCATGAAACTCTGGCCTTGACAGACTTTTCAGAGAGAGAAAGAGAGAGAGAGAGAGAGAAGAGAGAGAGAGATAGAGAGAAAGAGAGAGACAGAGAGAGAGAGAGAGAGAGAGAGAGAGAGAGAGAGAGAGAGAGAGAGAGAGAGAGAGAGAGAGAGGGAAGGGGAGAAAGAAAGAAGAGAGCGAAAGCAAAAGAAACAACAACGGAGAGACAGAAACAATCCACCCCACTCCCACCCAAACCCTCTCCTGCTGTTATGGTGAAACAAAATCAGGCCTTGACAGACTTTTTACAGGGTGGGGGGGGTAGACAGAGGGAGAGAGAGAATGAGAGAGAGAGAGAGAGAGAGAGAGAGAGAGAGAGAGAGAGAAAGAGAGAGAGAGCATGTGTGTGAGCGAGTGGGGAGAGGAGAGAGAGAGAGAGAGAGAGAGAGAGAGAGAGAGAGAGAGAGAGAGAGAGAGAGAGAGAGCATGTGTGTGTGTGTGTGTGGGGAGAGAGAGAAAAAGAGAGAGAGAGAGAGAGAGAGAGAGAGAGAGTGGGGGCACTTGTCTTCAAACAAGGAAGCCACTTCAGCACAGGAAACAAAAGATGTCGCACGATCCCTCTCCCTCCCTACTGTCATCTTAGCGGGGGACTGCACAACGACACGGTAAGCAACGCAACAATATACAACATGACACAGGCACAGCGTACACGGAATATACACATTACGCAGCACAGGGCGGGCACAGTGACACACAACATATGACACAGAACACAGACCGCCGTGTATACTGTACATATTGCACTGTAAAAGAGCTCAGAGACATATGACACATACAGAGCACAGTCTTTTGTGTACAGCACACACACACACTAGGGTGTGCTGACAAAATGAGTTACTTCTTGGAATTTTGCCTTATGGAAATTGATACATGAATTTTATAGGTGAAATTTTTTAAAATTCTAGTAGAGGTTTTACAGCGCTCGCAACTGCATAAGGTCATATGGGATGTGGATGTCAACAGAGAAGTCGTTAGTGCTTACTTCTCTAGCTTCAAAAGCACAAAGTCTACTTCGACTATCAAGGCACCCCGGAAATAGTGGGTCACAAGAGTGTGACAAACATATAAAAGAAGTAGAGGAAATGACGATATTTAGGATTAGGAAAGAAAAAGCAGCAGTTCCCTGTTGCAGTTCAGGCACAGTTATGAGCATGACATCGATGAATCAGCTGATTTACAATATTCTACTGTGCATAAAAACATGTTAATGTCTCCTCCTTTGGGAATGGCCTAAAGCCACTTCAGTCAGTAGCACTTCCCTGAGGAGTTACAGGTATAGAGTGAGAGACAGACACAGATGGAGTAAGAAGTGAGAAAGATGAAGGAACAATCTATCAACTCGGCTCTCACAAAAACCGATGCCCTATCACAGAGAAAGAAAAAAAAAACACTGCTGAGATATGAAGACGCCGCCACTTTCACGACCTAAAAGTGTCCAAAACGGCGTGAAATGCGCCCCCACTCACTCACCGTATGGCCAGCGTGAAGGCGTCGGGAGCACGCTCACTTTTCCGCACCAGGTAGCAGCCATCACCTCCCTGTAGCAGGCGGTCCACTTCTTGTCTGCTTAGGGAGCCGTGGAACCTGAGGGTAAGGGAGGGGAGGGTGGGGAGTGTTTTGTGTTTTAGTAAGAGTCTGTTTGTTTGTTTTAGTAAGTGTTTTACGGCACTCACAACACAGTAAGGCTCACTTCTTGTCTGCTTAGGGAGCCGTGGAACTTTGAAGGGTGGAAGGAGAATGCTTTGTGTTTTAGTAAAAGTTTTTTTTTATATTAGTAAGTGTTTTACAGCACTTGCAACACACTAAGGTCATTCGGCACTTGCAACACACTAAGGCTCACTTCTTGTCTGCTTAGGGAGCCGAGGGACCTGAGAGTAAGGGAGGGGAGGGAGGGGGAGTCTTATGTTTTAGTAAGAGTTTGTTTGTTTGTTTTAGTAAGGTTTTACAGAGCTCGCAACTGCACAAGGTCATATGAGCTCCAAGTGGTGGATGTCAACAGAGAAGTCCTCACAGGGAATCAGGCTTACTCTGCTCACCTCTCTAGCTTCAACAGCACAAAGTCTGCTTTGACTTTCAAGGCACCCCGGAAATATCGGGTCACAAGAGGGTGACGCACACACAAAAGAAGTAGAGAAAAAATTACGATAGTAAGGATTAGGAAAGAAAAAACAGCAGTTCGCTGTTGCAGTTCAGGCACAGTTATGGGCATGACATTGATGAATCAGCCCATTTACAATTACAATTCTAATACTTTTTAGTCTTCATTTGAGTTTCATGGCATTTGCAACACAAATAGGTAAAATATGCTCTGAAGATTAGAGATGTCTAAGTTTTAGTTAGAGGTTTACAACATTTGCAATACAGGTAGGTCATACGAATGACGAAGATAAAAGGGGTTTGGATTTTAGTAAGAGTTTTTTTAGTTTTGTTTGTTTTAGTAGAGGTGTTACAGCGCTCGCAACTGCATAAGGTCATATGAGCGCCAGAAGATTAGAGGTGTTACAAGAGAGTAACAAACATAAAAAAGAAGGGAGGGGAGATAAGGACGATAGATGTTTGATAGGAAAGAAGGAGCAAACCACACCAGAGCACCCGCCAACCATCCACTTTAGTAAGAGTTTCACAGCACTCGCAACACAAATAGGTCATACAAGTGTTGAAGATTAAAGGTACTTTAGTTTCATCAAGCGTTTTAAGGCACTTGCAACACAATAAGGTAATATAACCAGATTGGAAATGTTTCAAGAGAGTAACAAAAACAAAAATATGTTTCAAGAGAGTAACAAAAACAAAAATATGTTTCAAGAGAGTAACAAAAATAAAAATATGTTTCAAGAGAGTAACAAAAACAAAAATGAAGGAGGAAACGTAAAAGACGATAGGTTATGTTTTTAGTTTTGGTAAGAGTTTTATGGCAGTATTCATTCTTTGGGCTCTCCTGCAAAATTGTAAAAACTGCGTACACTGTATTTAAAAAAATGATGGCCGAGAAATGATGTGGAGCAAGCCCACTGGTTGGTGAATTCTAAAACATACGGGACAGATTTCGTCAAAAAAACGCTTGCAAATAATCAAGGCAACATAGTTTTTACTTCCTTCCTTTCTTCAAGTGCAAGAGAGTGTCAGTATACAAATATTTTTGCCTAGCTGTTAAATGTCAAACGCCATTTTTTTTTTTTTAGTTTCAGTAATCTATGATATTGGTTGAATTTGCTCAAGAAATACTTTGTTGAAATTCAAATTCTAAATGGTGAAAAAAACAACAACGAAATAACAACAACAACAAAAATGATATTGTAGGTACAATTATTCACTTTTAAGCACAAGGGGCTATCCCGAAAAATGCTGTTTTGAAAAATTCGAAGGAAAAGTTTTTGCATCTTATTCAGTTTCTTTAAAAGACAAGGAGAGTTTTCTACATAACAAAACAAATATGTGAGGCAGCGTGGTGGAATCAGGCTCTCGTCAAAATAATCAAAGTGAAGAAACTTCCATTTTTTCGCAGGTTTGTGAATTTTGATCAAATTTTTGTTTTTTGGCTCAACACCTTCCATGCTCATTAAAAAACTCATTTCTGTGTGAATTTTTCTGAAAAACCTTGATTAAAGGCACAAAAAATGTAAATTTTAAGTTACAACGGACTCTTAAGCTAAGGAAATAACTAATCTTTGGCGGCTATTTTCTCACTAATTTTACCTCTGAAAACAGGTGACCCCCACCTCTTTCTTTCGCAAATATCTCGACTTGTTTTCATAATAAATGGATATTTCTTTGACCCGAATAAACACAAGTGAACAACCTTAAAGATTATACCAATAACTCAACATGCTCAAAAATTGACGAGAGCCTGATTCCACTGCGCTGACTCACATATACACACCAATGAAACCAAACTTCTCCTATAGGTAGGTTAATGCCCACTTTTGGTGTTGGTCAAGATTTCTGGAAACACCCGAAATTTGGGTTAGCCCGCTTGTCCTTAAAAGCAACCAATTGTTAAAAGAATGTAAGACTTTTTCCTCTTTCGTAAAAATTATTGCTTTCTGGGCGTAGCACGTTTTAAGGGCTTGCCGGTGACATGAGAGGGCCAGAGTGTGTATGTGTGTGTGTGTGTGTGTGTGTGCATGCATGTGTGTGTGAGTGTGTGTGTGTGTGTGTGTGTGTGTGTATGTGTGTGTATGTAAGTGAAAGCCAGTGTGTGTGTGTGAATATATGTGAGTGTATGTATGTGTGTGTGTGTGTGTGTGTGTGCGTGTGTGTGTGTGCGTGTGTGTGCAAGAGCCAATGTGTGTGTGTGTGTGTGTGTATCTTTAAGAGTGAGTACAAGAATGTGTGTGTTCTAGCTTACAGGTGAGTGTGTGTGCTTATGTGTGTGTGTGTGACCATATGTGTTTGACAGCCAGTCAACTTTCTGGCACTTAAAAAATCATTGAAACTGATTTTTTTTTACTAGTCACAAGGAGTTCCAAAAAGTTCCAAAGAGTCTGCAACGGAACAGTCCCTCCACGCTTTGTTCAAAAAGACGCAACAATTAACAGCAACAGGAATTATAACAAAAATACAAATATATACTCACTCTTTCCCGTACTGGCTGGGGCGGTTTGGCACCTGGGCAAAGATTAATAAAATAAAAGACAAATTTACTCACCAAAATCAAAAGCCAAAAGAGTCAACACTACATTTACAATGTCTATAATGGATCCGGCACCTGAGCTGAGATTAATAAAACACAAATTTACAAGCCAAACCCAAACGCCAAAAGAGTCAACACTACATTTACAATATTCAATGGGTTCCTGAAGGTGTGTCATATTGATGAATAAGTGGAAAGATAATCAATGCATTTATGATGAGTGCATATACTCAATTATAATAATAACAATAATAATAATAATAATAATAATAATAACAATAATAACAATTATAATAATAACAATAATAATAATAATAATAATAATAATAATAATAATAATAATAATAATAACAATAATAATAATAATAATAATAATAATAATAACAATAATAATAATAATAACAATATTTCATAATAATAATTAAGCAAATATACACACACACACATGATGAAAATGTTAACATACACATATCTTCAACTAAACTTGTTGCAATATAACAAGGAGAACTGTTCTACAACTTGCAAGAGGTAAAGAACAGTTGGTGATGGTTTAGTGGAAGGTCTAACTCAATGTTTCTGGTTTCGTTGAAGGTCTAATGCAATGTTTCTGGTTTATTTGAAGGTCTAATGCAATGTTTCTGGTTTAGTTGAAGGTCTAACTCAATGTTTCTGGTTTTGTTGAAGGTCTATTGCAATGTTTCTGGTTTAGTTGAAGGTCTATTGCAATGTTTCTGGTTTAGTTGAAGGTCTAATGCAATGTTTCTGGTTTAGTCGAAGGTCTAATGCAATGTTTCTGGTTTAGTCGAAGGTCTAATGCAATGTTTCTGGTTTAGTCGAAGGTCTAATGCAATGTTTCTGGTTTAGTTGAAGGTCTATTGCAATGTTTCTGGTTTAGTTGAAGGTCTAATGCAATGTTTCTGGTTTAGTTGAAGGTCTACTGCAATGTTTCTGGTTTAGTCGAAGGTCTACTGCAATGTTTCTGGTTTAGTTGAAGGTCTAATGCAATGTTTCTGGTTTAGTTGAAGGTCTATTGCAATGTTTCTGGTTTAGTTGAAGGTCTAATGCAATGTTTCTGGTTTAGTTGAAGGTTTAATGCAATGTTTCTGGCTTAGTTGGAGGTCTACTGTTGGACTGGTTTGACAACTGGTTTAGTTGAAGATCTACCGCTGCGTTTCTGGTTTAGTTCAGGAGGTACCAGTTTGAGCAGGTTTGTGACTTGTGGTAATGATCTTTTTACATTTTCCCTTTGTGTTTATACAGGCTTGGGATTGTCATTGGCCATATTAAAAATTATCTGATTCCTTGAAAATAGTCCCATCTGGTCTCTTGCTGTTGCGATTTACTTGTCAATCATTATCTTTAAATGTGAGGCAGCGTGGTGAAATTAGGCACTCGTCAAAATAATGAAATTGAAGAAACAGGCATTTTTCTGCCAGCATGTAAATTTTTATGGAATTTGTGTTTTTCGCTTCAACATCTTTTATGTCCACATTATAACACATTACCATGTAAATTTGACCTAAGAACGTATATTGAAAGCATTAAAAATGTAATTTTTCAGTTTTCAAGGACTCTCAAGCTATTGAAGTTACCAAAGTTAGACGGACATTTTCTTGCTAATTTTATAACTGAAACCAGGTGACCCTATAGTCTATCTCCTTCAGTCGCAAATATCTTGGCTTCTGTTTAAGATAGATGAGCATTTTTTTGCTTTGAAAGCAAGACAAATGAATAAGCTTTTAGGTGATACCCATAACTCCATATGCTCAAAAACTGACGAGCGCATGATTCCAAGGCGTCGCAACACAAATCTTTACCACCGAAAAATTCTTTGATGTAAATGGCACTGCTGCATGAAGCAATCCACCCACCCATACACTTCAATATTGTATAACTCTACCATTCATCTTGCCCCCCACCACCACCGTCCCCCCCCCCCTCTCAAGTGAGGAGGAACTCACAAAAGACCCTGATCAATCCGGCAGGACTTACGGTCAGCCGCCATGGCGTGGCAGACCTTCAACTTAATTGGCACCAAACAGTCTTTGTCTAAAGAGTTCAATGTAAATTTATTGAGCTGGGGCACAAAATTTTTTCTTATGATTTTTTACCAATAACTGTAAATGCTGTCAATATATGTGAGGCGTGCTGACAAAATAAGTTACTTCATGGATTTTAGCTCTATGGAAATATATACGTTCAATTTTTACTGTGAGTTTGACATATTAAAAGACATGCATTCTCCTTGAAGAAAAATGACTTAGACTGAAAATCTAGAAATGTGACTGACTCCAGGGTCAATCGAATTTTGGCCAATATCTCCATTCGTGGATTACCAGAAATGACTCATTTTGTCAGCACGTTTCACATTTCTATTTATATATGCAAATGAGCTGTCACATGACTAGTCTCACCTCGAGCTGGCACTGAATGCACACTGGCTTAGGCGCCTCTTGCTGCAGCTGGTATACTGAAACAGACAAAGAGACACGCATCACCGACAATCTTCAAATTGGGTAAGAGTATTAGTTTATTTTAGTTTTAGTAAGAGTTTTACGACACTGTTAGTTTTAGTTTTAATAAGTGTTTTACGGCACTCGCAACAGCATAAGTTCATATGAGCGCCAGAAGATTAGAGGTGTTGCAAAAGAGTAACAAACACAAAAAAGAAGGAGGGGAGATAGAGACGATAGATGTTTGATAGGACAGAAGAAGCAACCCACTCTAGAGCACCCGACAACCACCCACTGGGTAAGAGTTTTAAGGGACTTGCAACACAAATAGGTCATATTATAAATGCCCAAACTTATAGAGGTGTTAATGGAGAGTAACATACAAGGAAAAGAAGGAGAGATGGTAAAGAGAATATAACGTTAAGACTGCTCGATTGTGAAAAGTTCTTTTTCTTTCGTTTCAATTAAGACAAGAGTTTTACAGCACTTGCAACACAAAGAGGTCATAGAAGTGACAAAGATTAGAGGTGTTACTAGAGAGTAACATACAAAGAAAAGAAGGAGAGATGGTAAAGAGAATATAACGTTAAGACTGCTCGATTGGCAAAGATAATGGGTTTTTTTCTTTAGTTTAAGTAAGAGTTTTACAGCACTTGCAACACAAATAGGTCATTGAAGTGACAAAGATTAGAGGTGTTACTGGTGAGTAATGTACAAAGAAAGGAAGGAGGAGAGATGATAAGGACGACAGAAGTTTGATAAGAAAGAAGAAGCAAATTACACCAGAACACTCACAAATAGAGGGGGGTGTGTGTGGGTATGTTATCATGTGTGTGTGTGTATGTGTGTGTGTGTGTATATCTGTGTGTGTGTGTGCGTGTGTGTGTGTGTGTATGTACGCGTGTGTGGGTGCATGTGTGTGTGCGTGCGTGTGTGTCATAAAGAGGTTACAGATAAAAGGATGACAAGTATTCAAAGGCTTTTAACGCCTAGGTAGATAGATAACACAAGGAACATTATAACCTGATTGTGTGTGTTGACTCACACAGCCAGGATGAGTTTGTTAGTTTGTTTGTTTTTAGTTTGTCTGTTTAGGTGAAGATAAGAACATGGACACAATAATGGTTAATGATGGATAAGGTAAGACAGACAGACAAGAAACACCAGAGTTTAGTCTAGTAAAGAGTTTTACGGCACTTGCAACACAATAAGGTCATATAAGTGCCGAAGATTAGAGGTGTTACAAGAGAGTAACAACAAACATAAAAAAAGAAGGAGGAGAGATAAGGTCGATAGATGTTTAAGAGGAAAGAAGGAGCAAACCACACCAGAGCACCCGCCAACCACCCACACCAGAGTTTGAGTAAAGAGAAGCACACAGAAACACAATAATGATCATTCAGAGCTGGGGAAAAGTAAGACAGAAACGACACAGGGAAAATGTTAAGAAGTAGGACCTACCAGTAGCGCCCTCCAACCACCCACAAGGCAGGGATTAAGTAGCCTGCTTGCTATACTATCCTAAATTAGGTTGATGGGGACATAAAAACATCTATAATTTTATCTTGCTACAAGAAATCACTTTTAGTTTTAGTTTAGTTTTAGTAGACATTTTACGGCGCTCGCAACCGCATAAAAGGTATTATGAGCGCCAGAAGAATTAGAGGTGTTACAATAGAGTAACAAACACAAAAAAGAAGGAGGGGAGACAAAGACAATAGATGTTTGATAGTAAAGAAAAAGCAGACCACACCAGAGCACCCGCCAACCACCCACAGAAATCACTTTAATAACGGGGTGCTGTAAGAAAAAGGAGTTCACTGTGACTGATAAAGAGGACACACACGCTGGATAGAAGAAAAGAAGGAGCAAACCACAACAGAGCACCCGCCAACCACCCACGTACGAGAGATAAAGAGGACACACACGCTGGATAGAAGAAAAGAAGCCTGAGCAAACCACAACAGGGCATCAGACAACCACCAACCGTGAAGTGAAAGAGAATTACATCGAAAATGATTTTATATGATATATCATAATGTGTATGCCTTTTTAGGTCTACAGTGTATGTGCATGTTTTTTTCTTTTAGAATTTTAAAAAATGTTATTATACATTACACAAATACTCAATAAATAAATGAAGAAAGAAAGAAAGAGAGAAAGAAAGAAAGAACGAAAGAAAGAAAGAAAGAAAGAAAGAAAGAAAGAAAGAAAGATTTTTTTTAAAAATAAATAAATAACAAAAAAATAAGTGAATAAATGGATGAATAAATAATTAAATAAATATTTATTTTTTTAAAATAAATTTTATTTTTTTTAAAGAATAATTTTTTTAAATAAATAAATAAATAACAGAAAATGTACCAACTTACGGTATGTGTTCCACGTCGGCGCACACTGGGTGTCTTCGCCATCTGGAACAATAGAAACATAATCATAAGGTCTTCTGGATCGCTGGCGGGCTGCGGGAACAGGCCTGGACGGACCACTCCCCTCCCCAGGGAGTGCAGGAGTCGGCGAGTCAGCCCTAAGTTTAGTCAACTGACTGCCGCCGACGCCACCACTTCCTCCCAACCGATTCCGACAGTGCATCGCGTGGGTCTGCCCCACCCTCCCCGCATCCCCCACGCCAAATCGATGCGCATCCCCAACACCGATGGTTTTATGCTGCTGCAGACTAGCGGATCGTCGGCAAGGGATGACCTTGATGTTGTCCTCGGGGCGCTGACCCTGCGTGTAGTCCAAGGCCGTGTCGGTGGACAGGCAACACACGGCGGCCTTCCTCTCCGACGGCGACATTTTGGCGGCCATCTCGTTCTCCGTTACGTTTATGCGTCTCCGCATGACGGGAGGAGGGTACCGAGCCCCGGGCCCCCTGTCGCTTCCGGACGGAGACTTGAACACAGGCTTTGAACTCATCATTCCAAAAGGCTAACAACCAAACCAAACCCAAACTTAACAAAGCAGACCGAGGAATCAGGTTCACATAAATCCAACAAAGGAACACACACACAAACACACACACACACCTCCACCACTACCGCCAAAGAAAATATTATATATATACTCCCAAGATGTTCCAGAACTTAACCATAGCCGAATGCAGACATGATGACAGCTTAGTGCGTAGCCACTTCACGTAAACAAACTTTTTTAGCAAGAAACAAATTTCACAAATCCCTCCAACTAGCTTCACAAAACACGAAAGTAATCTCTGGAGTAAAAATGAAGTAAACAAAGAACACTCGCACAGATTATAATATGACTACAATTCATCAAGTCGCGGGTCTCAACTAGACAGACAACTGGTCCAATGTGCAAACACATTCAACACCACAACGATATTCCGAACTAGCTTCACGAAACGTTATCTCCGAGACAAAACTGAAGTAAGCAAAGAACACTGCAGATAATAATGATATGACTGACTGCAACACATCAAGTTCCTTGTCTCCACAAGACTAGTAACAACTGGTCTAATGTGTGGACAAAATCAACGCTACACCAACCTCATGGGCAGAAACTGGGAAAACCCTGAGCTGCTCAAGATCTAAACAATCATGTGATTCCTACTCCGCAGTGAATCACAAAAGTGATGCTCATCCGAACGGACAGCCTATCACTGTCACTTCCTGAATGAATCGACAAAACGTCAACGTGCAAAGACACCTCTGGTCGGAGCGTAAACAAGGACCATCAGCTCCCCCTTCCTCGAGAAATGAGCTGGAAAAAAACTTCTCTCTAAAACAACGCTGTAATTTTGTTAGTGATAGTGTGATCCTAATGGTGTTGAATCAAACTGCCGTCTCAAACAATGAAGCTCAAAACAACAGGCGAGCAACACTGCACAATAACAGAGTAGGAAATATAATGCCGTATGACATGGATAGCAGAACAAGGAGACAAATATCCCTCCACACTGTATACTCAGTAACATGTGAGGATCTTCTCTACCACTCAACAGGATATGAACAAAAATCGGCTTGTGAAAAACACAGAGAGAGAGAAGGGG